ATCACAAACATTGCTGAACTCGCATGTTCCAGCACATGGTTGGCATGCAGCTGGATTGTGGCATGATTTGGACCCATGGCCATACTTCTGGCAGGTATAACACCTTAACTCATTAAGGCCGAGAGACGCATAAATGGGGCAAATTAATCGGCTCCTCACAGCGAGTGACGTGTTTATGGGGCAGGTAATTAGCAGTTTCTCACAGCGAGAGCCACATACAGTCGTCAACAGAAAGCACCTCTTATTCAGCGAGAGACGCACATGTGTGTTGTACTTTTAAAAATCGCACTGTACCTATTATTTCAACCAATTTAGCAGTACTGAGCAAATGTTAGCTTTTCTTAGGAGATATCCCACCTTTAGTATCAATCAGAAGAAGTATTTAAAGTGTTTTGATAACAATTGCTAATCATTATCATAGGCTTGTACAGCGTTTAGCAAATGAACGCATGTCGGCGAGAAAGGGGATTATGATGTTTTACAGAGGTAAGTGCCTGGTACTCTTCCTTGGGAATGGATACTAGAATACTTCGTATGCACCTTGATTGAATTAGATGTAATGGTTTAGAGGTTACTAAAAATTATATTTCCTTCAACTACCTAATAAATAGGAAACAATATACGAAATTTCAAGGACATACAAAAAATTCAAACAAAATAGAATAGTTTGAATTTACTTTTTAGGCATCATTACGTTGTCATGTTTCATATACTGAAACATAATGTATAAACACAAGTAATTATACATCCAAGCTCGAATAGATTAAACATAATTGAACTTACTAATTTGAAGTTTACTGAATTGTAACTAGTTGTTTTCCATACTCTAAAGTTCGTAATGTTACCTAAGCGAATATAAAGTGATAAGTCGCGCCTTTGCATCGAATACATATATACATGTCAGTGTTATAACAACAATGAAATCTTTTACTACGTTTGTTACAAAAGACAGTAAGTTGGTAATTCAAAACATTGTCACACATGGACAGAAGTAATATCATAAGTTATTACATGTAAGCCATACAAAGGTATTTCAAGCATTTTTGTTCAAGCTGTTGAAAGTTTCATGTTGATTTGAATTGTCAGTTTTCTATGCAATTTATATGAGCATTCTGTCAAACGCTTGTATTTGTTCTGTGAAATTATCAAATCCGGTGCAATTATCACGTGTATCAATGGACTCAGTCTCTATTGATCCATCGTCAATAAAAGCTGGATAGTATATCAGTTACGGTATCGATACACATGCGTATAATCATTCAATCAGATTACAGTAATGAACGCCTCTTTCGACCTTGAAATAACAGCCTCCGGTAGAATGCATATGTAGTTACGTCCTTGTTGGAAGGTTTGTCCCGTGACAAGTGTAAAATAAACAGATGCGCTGTTATATCATTGGACATCTTGCTTTATGGAGTCACGCCCCTCTCTGTGATGTTTATACATGCATGCACATCTGGAATCTTATGAACCTCGTTTGCATTCAGTAAAGATATAGGCACGCCAACCTTCATAAATATTGGTGATGGGGGTGTCAACTGCAAGTGTATACACTATAATAATTCAGTATAGTGTCACCTCGTGAATTCTGTAATGCGTGTACTCTAGTTTGGATAGTCATTCGTATCAAGGTGAAGACTATATTTACATGTACAGCAAACCATTAAGTTTTATGTACTAGTTGTGTGCATAAAATGTATATGAAAATAAATACTACCTCTACTCAGTGGTTGGATTTCAATCGTTTTGTTTTACTTATCGAAAAACACTAAAATGAGGACAAATAAACTCGCCAAAGTGACTATCTACTCCTATTTGTCTTATGTGTATATTTCATACATCGTTACCAGTGTGTATGTTTACAATACACAAACTGTTACATGATAGCTTGAGTTGATAAAGCCGAAACCCAGCATATCGACTGGTCAAGGATATAGCCAATAACCAATCTCTATCCAAGCTGCTGAGTGACCAAACGTGCTCTTCAGAAATTTCGCCAACGCCCCATCACCTGTTCTTTCCTCTGTGACAAGTATCTCATGATACGATTGGTCGCAGATAACATATGACCAGCCACTACATTGAACAGTTGAGATACCGAACGTTCTATTCGGGAAATTTGATGACGCCCTATCACGTGACTCTTTGTTTTATGTCTATGCAAGGAATATGTAGTATACATTTTGTATATGTATGTTTGTATGGTCACGTATGTTTTCTGCATTAAATCTGTATGAAATAAAGTGCAATGCTATGAATATGCTTTTGTGCTAGTCACAGACTAGCGTTATAGTACTTTCATTAAAATAATTCGTAAACACTAGAAATGTATCGGCAAAACCGCAATTTTCGTCGAAGATTATAAAGTATGAAAGTAAATTCTTTATGTCATTGTCGTAGATGTTTTGTAAATTTAAACCTCACACAATGATATAAGAGAGAGAATTTGTTAACGTGTGTCTCATCTGTTACATACAAAGAATACATGTGTATGCATATTGTGATAAAATATAAATGTACAAGCCGACAAAAGGTCTACAAGAGAAACTTGCAATAAAATTACATAAAGCTTGCAATACACGACATGTATTCACACCTGATTTCTTTCAACATATATCTTTACGACACGATTAAACAATCAGGACTTGTTTGTACGACTAGACAGTTTCCTGTGATCCCCGAAACCTGCCAGGGAATTGCAGGTGTATGTTTATTAACATACATATAAAATATGGGATATTGAATGTATGTGCATGTCCTTATCAATTTTATATCACAAAATTGTGATATGGAGCAAGGATCAACCATTTCATATTCCAAAGGGGAAGGAGCTGGGGAGTAGCTGAATAAAGAACATTGTCCCTCATAATGTTTTAAAAACAAAATTATGCAATCCAGATTGTTAAAAGATGTTGTGCGACATGGTTATAGGGTGGTTTTTAAGCAAAATATTCTGGTTAATAGATTAAATTCCTGTCTTATATTTAAACAAATTCCAAGACTCTAGTTCCTTTCCCCCTCAAATATATCAAATTTGTTTTAATAAAATCTCCTTATAGTATTCTAAATACAGAATGCATTTTCTTCAGATGGTTTGTGACCCCAAGTTTCTAATCACCAACTGTGTGGCCAACTGGCCCGGATATTCCGGCAGAGTAAGCTCTGTTATAATTTTGAAAATGGTAAGTATTCAAGTTTTATTCCGTCACTGTAGATGCCTATAGAACAAGTGTAGTGTCCTCAGATTATAACAATACAGACAATAAAATTTAAAATAAACTGATTTCACTTCAGCTAAACTGATGGTCCAAAATGCAACATGTCAGTAAATTTATTTATTGTTTATATCAGAAAATATGGTGACAATACATAGTGACAAAACTTAAATGTCACATGTAGGTCAATGTAGAGTGATAAAGTTCCTGAACATTGTAGAAAACTATTTTGGATTTACATATACACATCAATGATACAGACATGTATTTAATGCATAAGTGCAACCCCTTGATGTATTTAATTGCATACATGGTGTAAAAAGCGTCTTTCACTCTATCATTTGTGTCACATATCCCGTATCGTGAACTAGTATATATATACATTTAATGTAAAGCTTAATTCATCACATCAATAATTTTACCGAGTGACATCCGCATGTTGATCCGACGTGTCTGATCACGTCCTTCCTCAGCACAGGTGAGGTAATGTCTAACAAGCGATCTATTGTAGTATGCCTTGAATGTCCGAATTATTCCTGCATCCATCGGTTGAATATGAGACGTGGTATTTGGTCACATTTCGCAAAGTTAGCGAAGCACACTTGTGACTTGCAGCATTGTCGTAAAGCAAAATCACTTTTAGTCCACGTGACCGGATCTGTCTGTCAAAGTACATTAACCAATCACAAAACAGCTCACTTGTCATCCACGCCTTTGTTTTGTGGTGTCAATCAAAGTGTAAATGTACAGTATCTTCAGTCGGGAGCTTTTTATGTCTAACTAAAACAACAACCCAGTTGGCCAGTTATTTAAAGTAAACATCGCCGGGCGGTGTTGTTAGTACAATGAAGGCTATAGCAAACATTACAATATGTTGTGTGACCAAAGTTGAATTTGTTATCAAGAACTGTACAATATCAGCATTGGCAAAGATTTCCTTGTCATAGCTGAAATACTAATTTTGTGTAATAAGTCTTAGCATCTGTATTTAGTGTTTAATCAGGTCATAAATATGCAAAATGTTAAAGATTAATGAATATGAATATGTATTTCAGGTCTTCACGATGGATTCCTGCTTGGGGACTCTGGATACCCTTGCAGACGCTACCTGATAACTCCCTACCACAATACTGGCGATCTGAGACATAAAGAGAGATATAATTATTCTCTCTGCAGGACACGTGTACTCATTGAACAGACCTTTGGCATTTTAAACAGACGCTTTCCTTGTCTGTCTACTGGATTGAGAACCAATCCAACCAGAGCCTATAAATATGTTATCTCATGTGTAATATTACATAATATAGGAATTTTGAAACAAGATATTGTAATCAATGATGTAGATGAATTGACAGTACAGGGTCCAGATCAGCAACAGCAGCAGCTTCAGGGAAATGATGGCTTCAGTATCAGAGACCATATTGCCCAGAGCTATTTCAATTAATCAATGTGTGAAAAAAATCAGAGTGAGTGAGTGATCAGACGAAAGTTGTTAATTTCTATAAAACATTAGATAGAACATATAATTACTCAGAGTTCAAGTTGAATATTACTCTGTGAAGCTGAAAGTTGGGTCAATATTTTGTATTTGCAATATTGTCAATTTTTGCGGCAGTTTAGCTACTCAAATTTGTTCTCTTATCAGTTGTCTAGAATCCTTCATTTTCTCTAGTTCCTCTGTTAGTATTTCTTCTTCAGTTGACATTTTCACATGTCCAGCTGGTTCACCCCCTAGAAAAGAACTTGAAATTATCGTTGGGTCGGGATCAGTGATGTCAGTGATGCTGAAGGCCATATTATCAGCTGAGTTCAGATCAACTTCAGTGGTTTATGCTCCATCATGTGGGGCTTCAGCAGTTTCTGAGATATTCACGAAGTCTGAAAACAATAATTACTAAAGTCATTATTTATTCTTTCAAACATGAACTTCTCTATCGTTATGTCAAATCTATTGAACAGAAATAGAACGTAAGCATTACTTGTTATTGCGTTAAAGATGTTCCAAGCACCAAGTGTATCATAATTAGAAATGTAAAATGAACATATGTATATGTGAAATTGGAATTCATTAGCACATTTTATACAAATGTTTCTCTTCACAGTGGACAACAATTGCACAATCAGTTACCTTATAAACTGTTTCCTAAAGCTAATTTAATATAATATATTATGCTTGTATGCATGATCTGTACTGACCACGTTGCCATCTTCATCTGGAAAGAAATTAACAAATGCAACAGGTATTCTCCAGATCAAGCATCATGATGTTGTGTTATATTAGAATAGTATAATCACTAATTGCCAACCAAAGTAAACTTTATGTGGAAAGTTATTTTTTTCTGTTTTTCAATAACTTCAACCATTGGTATTTACTTTTCATGATGTTACATTTCAAACCTTTTACATATTTATCTGTATATTTTTAACAATTTGTATAAATCAATTTACCTTCCGTGTCAATCCCGCCAAACACCCCACACAAACTTGGTCTCCCCTCCAAATTATCCAGCACTAGTTGCTCGGGTACAGATGGGGAATTGGCCCTTGGTCTACCACCTGTTTGGGGTCTCATACACAAGCTTCTCTTTGCCTTGGCTAAAAACTATACATTCTTGTAAATACATTATGAAATCATAACATGTTGGAATAAGTACACACGTATTGTACATAACTGAGAATGTTCAACATGATAAAATAAATTGCATATTTGAACAATAAACTATATATTCTGATATAAAGTTGTGTCATGTGAAGCTTGCAATATTAATATAGACAGTTCAATATCAGTTAATTGTAATATTAAATTCCTGTTGCATATTACATAATGATTTTGGTCAGATGGAAATTAAATAAAATTGTATGCTGTAAAGAAATAGATTTCAAGTATCAGAATATAAGTTTTACCTTTCCGTTTGATATTTTGATACTTTTTCTTTATTTCACTCAGAGTTCTGAGTCCAGATCGACCCCTGCTGCAACAAACAAATGTCTCTCAGCCTGTTATTTCTGAGATGTGCAGGTTATTACAATATGTATACGAGATACGTAGATATGTTTGATAAGCAATGTTGGATTATTAACAGTAACTGCCTGCATGGTCACTGTTTACACTGTACGTCTTTGGTCAAAATACTAGCATAAATGCTAATTCAGAATAAGCTGATATTTCAATAATCCTTTGACAAATGAACACTAGAAGGTTTTTGTGTGCACGTATGTCGAAATCACATTTAGGTTGGGGAGTATTTTAGAAACTATTAGTCCAGCTACTTACGAGTTGATGAGGCAGGCGATTTCTTCCCTGGCTTGGGTTTTCTTCAGTGTGCTCCTTTGGCTTCCGTCCAAACGACCGAAGAGAAGACCCTCCCTCTTAGTCACTTCCTCGACTAGGATTATCTCCTCTTCTTTTCTCCAGTTGACTTTTCTTTTACTTGTTGCGTCCATATTTGCTAAAGCAGACGAGCTGTCATCGGCACGCGCTGCGTGTTTACAAACAACGGAATATTCGCGTGTCCCCGTTTGCTGAAGATTTCCGCTGTTACCGTACATACGCGAAGATATTACACACGTTCTTTTTGTTGATATTTAGTTATTTAACGTGGATGGACAGGTGCGTGCAGGTGCCTTGTGGTCTTCTTGCACTAAAGAACCCCCTTACATGCTGATAGCATTCTGAGAAGAGCGTGCATTGCCATGGTGACAGACTTAAGCTTAGTCTCACTTAAGATTTTGCTAAGACCGTTTCATGATCTATTCTTAGCACGAGTCTTAGCTAAGCAAACACAACCAAACTTAAGACAAATTTCGTGCTAAGCAATTTTCAGACTTAAGACACTTTCATGATCCCGGGGCCAGGACTCCACAGAGCCCTAGTAGAGGAATGGAATGCTTTCTTTATGTTCTCGATAAGGAGCATGAGAACAAGGTGCAACTCTGTCTTGGACGCGTCCGGAAGGTGCCCAAGACATTGAATGACCGATCGAGTGTTACATGTTTGTCATTTTCATTTTGGGGATTTGGTCCATACAACTGATATTTACTCGTGCTGTTTGAACTTTGGTCTGTATGTCACGATGTGTCACGCTTGTCACCACATTAAACATTATGATGACAATCTTAGTTCTATTATTTCTGAGAAACTTTTTTCTACATGTGCTATATACCATTTGGTCCTTTATTAAAGGTGCCTAGTATTATATTTGCATTTATATCGAGCACGCTGAAGGCGCTATGAACATATCATTACCCCAGTAATCGGATCTAGATCAGACTAGTTTCCTTGTCATGAATAGCTCCCATGGTCCATGACTCTGGAGTATAGATCTACAGCATGTGCACATCATGAGAGCGCAACAAAGTTAATCATTGACATCACCTTCACAATCCTTATGTTACCCGTTCTAAGCTGGATGGCCTGGAGCAAATGTGGGGAAAACCTTGCTCAAGGATGAAACCCCCCGATGCTAGCTGGGGTCGAACCTGCGCCATCCAGATTTTGAGGCTGATGCACTTGTTCAAAGCCAACGGAGCCCACTGGTACCTAATATATAGAGATTCTCACCCAAGTGTTTACTGATATCAATCATATCAACACGAGTTGATAAAGTTACAAATATCCGATGCTTGCCAAGGATATTTTTACTTTCATCAACGAGTGTTGATATATTTAATATCAAGAGACACGAGCGTGAGATACATTAGTTTTCAAAGAAAAATGTACATCTCTGAACATGGTAGTGCCATCAGACTTGCAGTGCAGCGGTGGCCTGATATTGTGACGTCATCAAGTTTATCACGTCATATCATTGTGATGTCATCAGATGTTTGACGTCATAGCATTGTGATCTAATGTAATGGATGATGTCAAGGCATTATACAAAATCTACTTTCAAAACGAAATCTCCTATGACATATCGTTTGATCTCACACAAGTAATATCTCCAGTGGATCCCAGTTTTGGATTATAAATACGATAATGAACATACATCAACGAATGGCACTATATATACTAAGTCTTGGTGAAGCTTTACCTCTCTCTTCATTTCTCTCCTTAACTGTTCATTTAAACCATGTATTTATATGTTTTCTACTCTGTCGTCATTCATATTCATCACCATAGTAATATGATTATTTAACACGCTATGTCCTAACCAACTTTCTTGCATATAACAGTGTGCAGCCATAGATTCCAAATGCAGATGAACCTGCTGGCATCACCTGCTCATAATAACCACTTTTGTTCAGTCAAGACATACCTATTAGGTTATGATTGGCATCTATTCAGAAAGGCCACAAACATAAGTTTCACTGAAGTGTATAAATCCTTTAATCAATAATCATGCATGATTAGAGTGAGTAATCGAGGTGCTTTAATGTCACTTTCAGAAATCACGACGTGTATAAATCTAATCGAGAAGATTCCTAATTGCAAGACGAAGGAAAGCGTACAGTTCATTGGCCTCCGTTACATCATTTGGAGGACACAGTCTGTTTTCGTCCATGATGATGTGGCACAGTTCTTTCCCAGTTTCATCACATGGCAAGTCTGATTTTGGAATTTGGAATGGTCTCTTCATCACATAGGTATATTTCTTTCTCCTCAACCGGACAGGTTTGATATTCTGCCTTGAAGATTTCAGTGGTACATAATCAATGGACGATTGCCCTGCCTAATATCACTTGTCGGCGTTGCAAGAGTTCCATGTCGACACAAATTCATCTAGGTCCTTCTGGAAAAACAAATTCTGCCAATTAAACATACTCATACTAGTTTTAGAGAGATGACGGTTGAGAGCAGAGGGTATGGGCGTGTGAGTGTGTGCTGGGGAAAGGGGGGGGGGGAATAAAGGGTGTGACATAATGGGAGAGACACAGAGGGAGAGAGGGAGTTGGAGGACGACGGGGGGAGGGGGATAGACAAAAGTAAAAGAAAGAGGGAGATGGTTATGTGTGTGTGTTTGTGTGTTTTGACAAAGAGAAACTAACATTGCCCATCATTGAAAAGGCTAAATATTACATCATCGCTGTACTATTGTCCTCTGTATCTCTCACCTGGATCAATTTACGAAGCAAAACTGCAAGAGACTCTTTTCCAAGAAATCACCATTGAAAAGATAAGTCACGTCTCCCAGTTTCAAAAGTGGTAATTACAAGTTTCAAAAGTGGTAATTACAAGTTTCAGAAGTTGTAATTACAAGGTTCAAAAGTGGTATTGGCCAGCCAAAAAAGTGGTAATTACCAGGAAAAAGTGGTTATTATCACTTTCAAAACAGGAGGTTCAAGAAAACATTTTGACCCCACTGAGCTTTCGTAATTGTATGCGTTTAAAATAATCTTTAAATATCACGATTCAACTTTCATTATACATACTAAATAATATGTAATTTCTTTCCATTTTGAAAACCCCGCCATGTATTGATTATTGCATTTTAATTTGCATATACTTTCTATAAATATATTTGTATCATTTCAGAATATCTAGATACACACGTAACATTTTCAGCTTTGGTACTAAGAAAATCTAAAGCTTGCAATTTGCTTACCGTTACATGAATGTCATGTCCAAATCTAGAGGGGTTTTTTTGTGCATTTTCATTTTGTGACTGACTGATGATTAAACTTCGACTTACTCGTTTAATATATAGAGAATCTCACCCGAGTATCTTTGGATATGAAATATATCACCACGAGTTGATAAAGACACAAATATCCGAGTCTTGTCGAAGATATTTTTACTTTTATCAACGAGTGTTGATATAATTGATATCAGAAGACACGAGCGTGAGATTCTATTTATCATAAAAAATTACTCTTCATTTATTTTCAATCTCTGAACATAGCATTGTACGAAATCTACTGTCAAAACGATATCTCCTAGGAGACATCCTTTGATCTCATACAAGTAATATCGCCTGTGGAAAACAGTTTTGGATAATAACTGTTGTTATTATTCGCCCATGGAACATAGTGCAGTGTAATATTTTACGTCAACTAAAACGCAGAAAATGGATATGAATAAGAATAGTAAAATTTAAAAGTTCTAATTTACTTGTTTCAAAAGTGGTATTTGCCAGACCAAAATGTGATAATAACCAGTGTCAAATGTGGTAATTACCAGAAAAAAGTGGTAATTACTAGTTTCAAAAGTGGTAATTACCAGATTCAAAAGTGGTGTTTACCAGAAAAAGTGGTTATTACCAGAAAAAAAGTGGTTATTACCAATTTTAAAACAGATAATTAAAAAACCATTTTGACCTCTCTGGGCTTTTTGTAGTTTTCCCTATTCACTGAAAACGTTAGCATCGTAATCAAAGGATTTAATGATAGATTATGTTAGAAATGCAAGAACAGTATAAATAATCTTCCCATCTGCAGGCCTTGAGAGGTCACAACCTATTATGCCATTGCCGCAAATACTTTATGATGAATGACATATGTTTCTTCAAAGGATCAGCACAAAGAAACATTATATAGCATTGATTGATATCTGAAGACATGAAACACCACGGTTTATACAACATGTAGATCAGCTAGAAATCAAAGTAATTAAAGCGTATGTTCTTCCAATAAAGACATCTCTGTGAGGTTCAGTGTGGTGGAAACTGCTGCAAGGAAAGTGTTCTGAGTCTCTCGTTGATAACTCGAAAGATGCATAACGTCATGGTTGTCCATCATTAACCATTAGGCATTTATCGGCCGACCAAACAAAAGAACTGATTTTTATAACTTTCCAATATTTGTCATCATTCACTTACTTCACGCAAAAGACCCTGATTCGATTTCTGCCTTGTGACTTCAGAAACGGGCAGTTGAAGCATTGATGCGGTGGAATCGGATGAGATCATTGCACTTGCATGTACTGGGCAAAGTTAAGGCACAATGCCATATATTGTCATCGGTCATAAAGAATATTCTCACTCCGAACCGATAATCGTTGTCCTGCCCCTTCAAAATGCCAGGTAGTGTAACACCATCTTAAAACGTCTTTTGGTACAACGTGGCCAGATATCCACACGCCGACCTTTCGCTTTCTGGGCAGACACTCAATCCACTAGACCACATAGTTAATCTTCTGGTTCATGCGGTCCTTCTTTGGGATTTTATGCCTGATTTGACACTAGATGTGGACATTTCCATTTACCCGCGTCACATACTGTCATTCAAGAAATGATCACAGAACTCACAAGGAGATTTTAGAAATTTATAAACATTATTCAGAACCTAGAATTTACAAAATACCTCAGCTATCCCGCTCTAATGCACTCACTGTTCCCTAACTACCCGCAGAACTCGATCCTACACTTGCTAGACCCGTGATGATCCAGGTTGGAATTGGTCTTCATTAACTCATGCTTGCCGTAAATGGATGGGTTGGCTCACAGCAACAACGACTGAAAGTCCCACCCATCAGCATCACCATTGGCAACAGCTCTGTCAGTCCCTGCTCATCTATGCGGAATGTCGGTGTGATGTTTGATCCATCCTTATCTTTTCAACCCCACGTG